TCCACAACTCTGCAGCTTGTGAAGGAGGATACGGTGGTTCAAACGGTTGAAAGTCTTTGAGAAATCCAGATATACTACATCAACAACTATGCCGCTCTCAAGGGTCTCAGTCCAACTGGATCTAGCAAGCAGCAAGGTTGAAGTGCAAGTACGGTTCTTGCGAAATCCATGTTGTTCTTGGGCTATGATATAGCGTTCTTCCAAAAAGTTCATCAGCGCTTGCGCAGCAATAGCTTCCATGATTTGGAGAGCACCGGATGTAGTCTTATCGGGTGATAGTTGGCCGGTTCTGTACGACTTCCCCGCTTTATGGATGGGAGTGACGATGCCCTGCTTCCACATTGTTGGCACCCGCATCTCATCGATGCATCGTTGGAAGAACTTGCAGAGTGCGTCCGCCAGGTTGACTGCGGCCAACTTCAACGCTTTTGGACGAATATTATCAACACCAGGAGAGGTATGCTCCCGCAGGGCAATTAGCCTTTTCAAAATATCTACAGTCGTAAACGTGATGTGGCTGAGTCCTAGTGGTGGTACAACTCTCGGGAACAGTGTATTCGGCGATGTCGTGTTCTGGAAGTTCGAGGCGAAGTGTTGACGTAGGGCGTTGGCCGCCTCGGTTGCGTTCTGTGCAAATCCACACAATGTGTGTAAAGCAAGAATTCTTCGCTACACTTTACGGAGCTTATTTATGTGTCCTGTACAGGAGCTTGGGGGTTTGAAAGGAATTTTCTCAGCTAGATTCTGTTGGTGTTATATTTTGTCTTTGCGTACCAGGTTTACGCAGTGATTCCTTTGGATACTGTAGGCTTCCCATGTTTCGGCACTCGATGACTCCTTGTATCTTTGCCAGAGTAAATTCCTCGTGACCATACACTTCAGTGCCCTGCTGAGTATGAATGATTGTACTGTCTTGGCTCGCGAAGGTCTTTTCCTAGAAACACTAGTTACTAACGTGTTGAATTGGTGAGCAAATTCAGGCCAGGCGACATCGGGTGATGGTTCTGCTAGAAATGCTCCGTTTGTGGCATTTATAAGTTTGATTAGGAGCGCCGTAATCCGTAACGAGTTGGCACTCCTCGGTGCTTTCTGAGGAATAATCTGCATAAAAGATATCCTTGAACATGAGGGTTGTATGGTCGCTACGGACTAAAGGACTCTCTATCGATACCGTTTCAATCGTAAGCTCTTCATTGGTGAATTCGAGGTCCAAGACACTCGGTTTGTTTCCCTCCTGAATCTTGCGGGAGATGTGTTTTGATTGTAGAGTGGTAGTTCACTAATGGTCTCCTGTACTTCCATTTTCAAGTGTTCGTTTATACAGGCTGGAGTTTCTATGGTAAGATTATTGAAGTCACCAAACAGGAGAATGTGGCTGTACGACTGCAAGAGAATGGTCTTCATTGTTGAGGCTAGGCGGTTGTCCATTTCAAAGTAGCTGACGGAGGGCGATTGCACCACACCCAACAAACATGCGTTCCTCACGGCTTAGGTGAAGACGACACCAAAGCGCATCGACAACCTGAACCTCTGGGTCATCGATGAGATCAATGTGTAGTTCGCTGCGATAATAAAGTAGTACTCCACCTCCTCTACTTGGTCGAGCGTTGCGTAGAATAGACATCCCAAGTAGTGCGATTTCCACATCGGTGCTCGCTTCATTCAGTCAGGTCTCCGTTATCATGACAAGGTTGCTTGACATGGAGACCTGACGCAGGCGAAGCACCGGCAGTTTGCTTAAAAGACCTTGTGCCTTGGTATAAAAACAGGAGAGTGATTCATGGGTTAGAAGGTTGTTTGTGGATGTAGACAACAGGTTTGCGAATTGGCCGACGCTCTTGAGGTCAGCTGCTAATAGAATTTTTGTATCGTCTTAGGCTCGCAAGAAAGACTTGGAATAACTCTCTGCACCATATGATCAGGTTCATGATGATCCTGATGGTCACTCACCTCCTGCAGTGTCTCGCTGCATGCTATGACGGCAGTCAGATCAGTCTCTGTGGTGGACTCTGCAACAACGGTTGTTAGCACTGAGTTGGTTCTATCCATGGAGCAGCTTCCGGTCGTAAACCTGCTGCTTTTAGTAGAATTTCTGTTGGTAGCTTGTTCCGGAAGTTCCCCCACTTCTCTAGAACTGACTGTAAAGGTAGCTCAGACGGTAAGGCCAAGTTCAGCAAACTAGGACCACACCCTTGGTGATTTGGCGACACGAGAATCCTGGTCAGGGTGGCAGCAATGACTTTTTCTAAAGACAGTGACACACGAATGTATCGCCATTGCTCCAGGTCATGTACCTGAGCTTTTTCAGGAGATGAAGTTTGTGACTCGAGGACGCCATTAATAATGACGGTTTTCAGCGTGTTTTCTACTTCCCTGTTGATTGTCCATATCATTTGAACGTTCTTTCCACGGAATATCTGGTAAGATACATACTCCGTTCGATGCTCTGTGGTGTCGATTTGCATCGAGCAGAATGGATTCCGTTTCTTCCGCAGAATGTAGTATTATTCGAAGTAGACGAGGCTCACCATAGTGGAAGGTGTTTAGTTGTCGTGCGATACGGCTGAGCGTAGTGAGTTCAACGCACTTGCTAATGGCAGTACAGATGGAACTCCACTGATTACGATCGTCTATCAATTTGCCCCTTGTTGTGTTGGATTTGGGTTCAGGAACGTTAGTGCACACAAGATTTAAGGCATCATGATTCCGCCTTGTGGTTCGCGACTTAAGAGCACTAAGTTCTTTTGTTTTTTGTGGATTTGTGAACTGCACCAGCGATAGCGATCCGTGTCGAGACACATTTTTGACCACTCCCGTACATGAAGTCACAGATATCATTGACGGCGTTTTCCTAGAAGCAACCGCTGCCTAGGATGTCCAGTTTTGTTTTACCGTGGGCTTGCTGGAGTCTTGTGTGTTGAGTATGTCAACTGAATTACTAGTTATTACACCCGCAGAGAAAGTAGAAGCAAGTGGGTTGTAAACGAGTTTTTCACTTAGTGGAGCCATGAGGCTAGGGGCCATTGAAGACAGAGATGCTACGGTGAGGTTGGGACGCCTGATCATCTTTTTCGACCTAAACGGGGGGTTTGTAGATGTCCGTTCAGTTTCAAGTATAGCATTGTTTAGTTTCACAGATGCGTTGCTAGCGTGCGCCAGTTGCTCAACTGTTTCCGCCAACTTTTCACACTTTTTCCTTAGGAAAATTCCACAACTAACAACAGGGATGGATTTGCACAATTGGAAGAACCAAAATGCATCGATTTTTCTGCTGTATTGTCTAGTTTCGAGTGCACTCCTCCCTAAACACATTGAGTGGTACGCTTTTTGACAGTTAAAGCAAACTGGACCAGACTTAACGGTTTTTACACATGGGTCACCATTGACTTTCGAATGGGCCATATCCACTTGAGGAGTGTACTTTGTTATTGTGACTCTCACCAATTCCAAAAGGGATTAGCTAGAAAACGAGAGTTCAGAATCTATGCTGTAGATATCTCACTTACCACTAGCTTAGAATGGAGTAATTCTATTGATATATGTGGTCACGGTCAGTAATGGGGCAGGGAATTCGGAATGACCGCAGATGATGGTGATATCGTGTACAGATTCACCACTAACAAGATGGAATGGAGTAACTGGATGTGTACGCAACAACAAGGGAAGCAAAAGGATGAAGATACTGACGCACAGTGTGAGTTCGCTCCAATTTTCGTTGCGTGACGATCGGCGCTAGTTTGAGGTTAGGGGGTCAGACCTGTCGCGTCCAGATGAGTCACACTTTCCATAGGGTAGATAGGCCACCTTCATGCCATTGATCCAACCGGTAAGTGGATAAGCAACAATGCAGCGTAGGATTGAGGCAAGGCAGGATGAGTTGGAAAATACTGTCTACTGACGACAGTGGCTGCACCAAAGGAGGACCAAATTGACAACTATCGCTTTGTACAACGACTAGAAAGAGTGGTAGTAAGATGTTTCCGGTGACTCAAAAAGATCTTTAAAATAAGACCACCCGAGTTCTTGTGCGACGAGAGGAAAAATAAATTCTCCGATAAAATTCATACACGGTTGACTTCGAAATTGCAAAA